ATGGAAATGTTTGACCTCTCTTGGTCAGATCCTTTGTTGATTTTCTTGGTGAAAAGTCAACATTGTGGGAGAGATTTACTAAAACCGGTGCACACAGAATCCGGTGCAGCTGTACATGGGAGCCAATCAGATTCTAACTTCAACTTGTTCAATTAAGCTTTGGCAATGAAACCTGGATGCTGATTGGTTTCTATGCACAGCTGCTCCAGATACCGTGTGCTCCAGTCTTAGTAAATCTTCCCCAGTCTGTATAGCGGACAAACGTGGCCACTTTATGAAACTGATCATCTGATAACTGCATATTGTGAAGATGACCTTAGAATATTTCTGATCCAAAACTGCCCAGCAAGGAAGAAGAGAGAACATTCCCTATGCAGACAGACTGAGGGCTGGCTTCGGGAAAGGTTTGTGATTTCTAGTGAACACCGACCGACAGAGAGCCCACACCGGCACACAGGACACTTTGTACATTCAACAAATAAATAATGGGGAAGTAAAAGTTTCAGGAAGATGTCTGATGTTTACATTTGTTCTGGAGTTTCTCTGAAGGCTGCTGTTAGAAACCATAGGGCTCCATACAGCCAACTTGACAGGGCCCCCTTAAAAAAAACAAAAACACTTTTTACTATGCTTCAGTCATGAATGAATACAGTGAGTGATCGGTACCGATCACTCATTGGGTTCATTCAGGGAAGGAAGGGGCTGGTTAATGTGACATATTTATCGGACTCTTCCCCCTCCTTCCTGAAGGATCTTATTGTGTGCTTGCAGCTGTCGGTGGGAAGGAGAGGAGGGAAGCCGGCACTGTGGGGGCCCAGGTAGCTGGGTGAATCAGATGTGCACAGGGAGGGTGGGCGGCAATTACTGGAACCGATCCCCTCTATCGCTTTCTCTGCAGCAGTTGAAAATCAACGGGAGAGAGAGGAGAAGAAGTCAGCTTTCAGATGCTGCAGAAAGAGCCATACAGGGGATCAGTTCCAGTAATGCTCCCCCCATGCTGTGCTGATCACCTTCACTGCCCACATCCAATTCACCCAGCTGCCTGGGCCCCCCGTACAGGAGGACTGGTGGTACCCCCTTATCCACGGCCCTGGGTTCTCTTGACTTCTAAGGCCCCTTTCACACGGCTGTTCCATATGTCCATTTTTCATCTGTCCATTTATGGGTGAAAAACGGACCCACATGTATTTCTATGGACTAATGGATGTAAGTGAATGATCATCTGTTTACATCCGTTGGTTTTTTTTTGACCGGAAGAAAACCCTATTTTTCTTCTGTTAAAAAAAAAAATGAATGTAAACGGAAGAAAAATGGATGTAAACAGACGATAAATATGAAAGTGATAAAAAACTGATGTGAACTGATTTGTTTTTTTCTTGGAAAAAACGTGACTGAACTGTTGAATAAAAAGTGGAACGCCCGTGTGAAAGGGGCCTAAGGAAACGAATATGGAATCCTAATATTGATGAAGTCTACACCTCAACGTTCCAATGAATTAAACACTGTTCTGTGCATTATCCTTCAGAGGGGGAACTGGAAGTCCTCAAGTACAATTTTTGGAAAGAGGACATGCTGGGGCCCCCAGAGTTCCTGGGGGCCAAGTGTCCCCTTCTCTAATCAGCCATGTTTAGGGGACAGGACAGGTTTTATAGACATGGTGGGCTCTGTGCTGTTCATGGGCCCCATGGGTCCTGCCCGTCCTTCTGTTGACCTAGGCTTTGTCAGATTCTTTTGCTGACGTCGGGCGATGTGTCCAGAATATGGTTTTTGTAGGAGTAGGAAGTTTTAAAGCTGCAGATGTCTAAATCGGCCATTCGGGTTCCATGGAACTCTTGGGTCCCTCCAGAGGTTACTAGGGGTTTCAGTATTATTTTGATTTGCATGTTCATTGCTAAAATGCTGAATATAAATTAGCCAAAGTCATTAGAGCAGTATAAAACCCAAAACCAAAAATGTAATATATTGCAGCGTAACAATTATTCGATGTGATGGCTGCATTAGTTTTCTTTAAGCTTTTATTCCCTTCTGTTTTCACCTGGTGATTTTGGCCAATAACACACCTCCTGTATTAGAGCGCCCCTGCTCTGTATAAAGGAGCACAGGGGGCACCTTTGGACAGCAGGATTGTCAGTCCAGGGGGAAGGAATGTTTAGATGTACTAACAGATTGAAATACAGATTTAAATCCCCCCTCCCAAACTGGCCCCTGTAAAATGATGTGATTGGTGCTAGCCTATTGATCCATGTGCTGTCACAGACGGTGGGACACCATCATGGTCGGATATCACTTCCTACAGGAAGGCTGCCATTAGAAATCATTATTAATTATTTTTCTATTTTTTTCCTAAGTTTAAAAGTTATTTTTTACATTTTTAAAATGATTTTGTACAAAACAATGTATTAACAATACTGTTGAGGGGGAGGGGGCTTGGATGAAATAGGGGTCTAAACAGACCCCTGACATGTCACCTATGAGGTAGGGAAAGGAATTGAGGACACAGATTCTTCAGTTCCTTTCTCTGTAGCCTCAGCTGCACTGAAGATGAATGAACAGGAGACAGAGGCTGCTGTTCATTCATAAACTGAAACATAGTAAACAGAGTTTACTATGCTCAGTTATCAATGGGCACAGGAGTGATTGGTACTGATCGCTCACTGTGTCCAATTCAGAAAAGGAAGGGGCTGGTAAATTACATATTTACAGGCCCCTTCCCCCACTCTCCATCGGCCTGTGTACCCACAGCAGCCGGCAGGAGAGGAAAGCTGGCAGCGCTGCGGGGGGACAAGGGGCCCGGGCACACTGGGGGCAGTCAGATGTGGGCAGCACAGGGAGGGGGATTATTGCAGAACAATACACTGTGTCTATGTCTCCCTCCAGCAGCTGAAAGCCAGTGGGAGGGAGAAGGGAAGAAACTGGCTTTCAGCAGCTGAAGGGAGAGACAGACACAGGGCATCATTCGGTAATTGTCCTCCCGGCGTGCCGCTCTGATCCCCCTGCTATCCAAGCCCCTGTGTGCCCAGGCCTCCCCGGGTATCACACAGGAACAGTGCACACCCCCCGCATGCCCATACCACCGCCACTAAAATACTCTAACAAACTGAAGCCAAACTCTAGTTCATACTGAAGTTAAACAAGCAATTACAACAAGGTTTTTTTTGTTGTGGGATAAAGGTTTGCATGAATAAAAGCTAATCGTTGTATGCACTCCTGTCAGTTATAAATGGATTGTCTAAACACTCTAACTGCTACATTTACAGGAGAGCTTGTTCTGTTGAAAAACAACAGACTTACTGGCTAGATCACCAGCTGAAAATAAAGGAACGAAAGCCTAAAATAAGAAATGAATGCAGCCATCACATCTAAGAATTGGTAAACTTCAATATAAGAGGTTTTCTATAGGGTTTAATACAGCTTTACTGGAAAACCTTCAAAACATCATGCAAACGCTGGGGTCAGGGGCGGACTGACAACTCATGGAGCCCCCGGGCAATAGAGGATCATGGGGCCCCTGTGTTCTTGCCCAAACTCAAAAAAGCCTATGAAAAAGGTACCAGGGGCATCTCATGGGGCCCCCTACTGACCCCGGGCCCTCGGGCAGTGCCCGGGTTTCCAAATGGTCAGTCTGCTCCTGGCTGGGGTCCTTTGTGTGCTGCCAAGAGGTGGATATGGCAGAGGAGATCCATTGTTCACATTGAGGGGTTCAAGCTGGGAATTCTGATCCCTATGAATTACTCTGGTAGTGGCCAGGCTCAGCTCAGGTATTCTGATCCAGCCTGGTCGCTAGACTCGAGAGGAATTCTGATCCCTGCGATGGCTCCCATGGTGGCCAGACTCTGGCCAGGAATTTTGATCTTGGCAATGTTTTCAATGGTGACCAGACTCAGGACAGGAATTCTGGTCTTGGCAATGGCTCCATTGTTGCCCAGATCCAGGTCAAGAATTCTGATCTTGGTATTGGTTCCTATGGTGACCAGACTCGGGACAGAAGTTATAATATTGATGGTGGCCAGACTCGGGACAGAAGTTATAATATTGACGGTGGCCAGACTCGGGACAGAAATTTTGATCCTGATGGTGGCTCCAATGGTGGCCAGACTCGAGACAAATTTTGATCCTGGTAATGGGTTCAATGAACATCAGGAATTCTGAATCTGATGATGGCTCTGGTAACTGTCAGACTCGGAATGGGAATTCTGATCTCATTGATGGCTCCTATCAAACTTTGGGAATTCTCATCCTGATGTCCTCTTTTTTTTTTTTTTTTTTTTTTTTTTTTTTTTTTTTTTTTTTTGTCTGATGAAACCGATGAAGAAAAGACTCCATCCTGGTGTCACTCAACACCCATTACCAGCACTAAGGCCAGGGATATGAAAGGTATGCAGACCTCATAGAAAAAGGAAGCAATCGGACCTTTGAGACACCACACAAATTATTTAGTTTTTTTTTATATAGGCATGAGAACCTTTCTGGGGTAAACATTATTTGTTTACTTGGAGGATTCATTCTCCATAATTCCATAGACGCCCATTAATCTTCTCTTTGATCTCATCCTCTGTCATAGTTGTGGCCTCCACTCAGCCACGTTGATTACACTGGAGGAGATGGGGACTGTATACCGTGGATATTGCCCCCCCCTCTTTAGAGACTGTTGTAGACGTCATGTCCACTAGTGCTATTGAGTGGCCACTTTGGGTGAACCCAAGTAAAGGTTCAGTTCTGAGTGATAGTTCCTTTCCGTCATTATTGGGGATATTGTGATATGTCCGTGTAATAGATTTTTATTTCTTGATTATTTTTTTTTTTTTTTTCTTGCACTCTGTTTCTGTATTTCAGTAAGAATTAATTCTCTGTGTAGAAGTGATAATACATATGGAGCTGACACTGATATTTCTGTCTGCCCATGCTCCATATAAAAGGGCGGTAGGATTCCAGATCAGGATGAAGTGTCAGCAGAGTTCTCTCCGTCCAGGGAATGGTCAGGGATTGTTGCACCATATTACGATATTCTCTCAAGTGTTGGAAATGTTCTTGTATCTGATGATCTCTGGCTCTCTTGCAGGTTGTTCGAGTTAGAGCCGGACTTAGTCTTCCTTTTCCAGTACAATTCTGCTCATTTCTCTACCGTCCAGGAATGTCTAAGCTCCAGCGAGTTCAGTGAACACATCCGCAAAGTGAGTAACTGTCTCCTTGGTCTAATTCTTCAAGGCAGATATCTGAGATGTGACCATAGACTGATATCTCACCATTCACATAAAAAGGTTCAGATTTCTTCTGGTCAGTCTAATAAGGACCATAGGTTACTGAGCATCTCCACCACCCTCCACTGGAGGGTGCCCCTGGGAGCCCCTGCTGCAGCTAGTAGGTTTGTCCCTTCATCATTGTAAGATTGATGGTTGGTTTCAATAGGTCACCCCTTTCCCCTAATGTTTCCATGCCAGATACATGCTAGTGCTGGTATATTTTATTGCAGCTGTGCTGTCTTTTTTAAGGTTATGACTGTTATCGAAGCTGCGGCCACCAGCCTGGACTCGTTGTCCTCTCTGGACGAATATCTGACCGGCCTGGGACGCAAACATCGAGCTACCGGCGTTAAGCTAGAATCATTCAAGGTGGGAAATGTTTGCTCATCAGGTAACAAGACTTTCTGCTCAAGAGCTGACAATCCACAACGCATACCACCATTATTTTCCAGCAAATATCTTTTCATGATAACATGCCGAAAATTTTAAATGTACAGTGAGATATTTCTAAAGGCCTCCCAGAGAAATGGAAATAGATGGATGGGGCAGATAGTCAGAGAGGGCATCCTGAGGGAATCGTGCTCAGAGTTCACCACAGCTGGGGCTGTTGATCAAAGTGGTCATCCCAAAGAGGGGCAGTCATCAGAGGTCAACTCAGGGAAAGACATTGGTTAGAAAGGTCAACTGACAGGACTGGTGGTCATAGGTCAACCCAGGTGGAGCTGTTGGTCAAAGGGGTCACCCCAGGGAGAGACAGTACTCGGGAGAGGTCATCCTAGGGTTGGATAGTGCTCAGAGAGGTCACTACTCCAGGTAGGGCTGGTAGTCAGATGAGTCACTCTAGGCAGACCCGGTTGTCAGAGAGGTCACTGCATTTGGGGGTGTTGGTCAGAAAGGTCACTGCATTTGGGGGTGGTGGTCAGAAGGGTCAGCTTAACTTCTGGCAGTCAGAGGGGCCACCCCCCAAAGAGTGGTCAAAAGGGTCACCCTCAGGTGTGTGAAGAGAGTGGTCAGGTGGTGCTTCCTAGTGGTCCCATCAGGTACCAAGTCTTCCTGTTCTCAAGAGCTGACAATCCAAAATGCACACTGCCATTTGGTTTCCAGCAAATGTCTTCATGTTAAAATGCCAAAAACTTTAAATTTAGTATATAATAAACTATTGGTAAAGAGCCCTACGGAGGTGTGATTAGAGGGATGGGACAGATAGTCAGCGAGGTCACTCTGTGGGAGGCATGGTCAGGGAAGTCACCCCAGATGGGGTTGTTGATCAAATGGGTTACCCCAAGAAGGGACGGTGGTCAGAGAAGGTTGCCCCAGATACAGAGGTTAGAGAAGTAATCCCAGACAGGAATAGTGGTCAGAGTTCACCCCAGGCATGGCTGTTGGTTAAAGGAGTAACCTCAGATAAGGAGGGTGGTCAGAGAGGTCACCCTGATTGGGGCTGGTAGTCGTATAGGTCTATCTAGGTAGGGTCGGTGGTCAGGTCATGTGGGGGCAGTGGTCTGAGAGGTCACTGCAGGCAAGGATGGTGGTCAGAAAGGTTACTCCAGGCAGGACCAGTCAGAGGGGGTCAACTTAGGAGGGTGGGGTCAAAGAGGTCACCCCAGGGGGTGTGGACAGAGTGGTAAAGTGAGTGCAAAGATGTCAAATGGAGAACTTCTGTGAATGGGATCTCCCAAAGACAGAGATCTCACCATAGGTGTCTTGAGACGTGGAAGTGATCAACAGGTGCCTTCCACCAAACACTGAAATAATAATTCCGGGTGAAGTAGCTCTGTAACACTTTTCTCGCAGTCCAGTTGATTTCAGCTGAGATCCTCTACAGCGACTGGTGTAATGCCTGTTTGATAGCAGAACTTCTAAGAGGTCTTTTTTTCTACAGACGGTGGGCGAGTCACTGCTCTTCGCTCTGGAATCTGGTTTGGGAGAATTGTTCACACCAGAGACCCGAGAAGCATGGAGTCAGCTGTACGCTGTAGTGGTGGGTTCCATGAGCCGCGGCTGGTACAGAGAACAGCAGGGTGAATGAGAAGTGTGCACGGGGTGAAGGACAAGACCTCAGTGGAGATCCGTGGGTGCTGGGCTGGGATTCTCATTGTTTGTGGAGCCTGTAGTGGAGGCAGCACTGTGTGTACAGCGCTGCGGCCTATGTGTTCTCCTCGTTATGTGTCTGTGCCACGTTGTGTGTCCGTACTGTGTTGTGTGTCATTGTACAGTTTCTATATAGCGGTCTGTTCACACTACATCACTGTAAGCTGGACTTAATGCTGCCACACTTCTGACACGGTGGGTGCTCGTTATGTGCCAACACTGGGGACGAGATCAGCTCCATATTCACCGACGAATGTGCAGAATCTGCCAGGAAGAAACCACATGTTCACTGGACTCAGGAGGGTGCGGGGGGCCCAATCACAAGTCAGGGCCACCTACAGCATCCAATCAGATATCCGCTGCTTTTCTGAGACTTTCTCTTCTAATTTCCAGATTTTCAGTACAGGAACAAAAATCTTTTTTTTTTTTTTTTTTTTTTTTTTTTTACAGATTTTTTGCCATTTTAATTATTTTTTGAAATTTTAACATTTTATGCTGACACAGTCTGTTAGTTTTACCAGCAGAAGGTGGAAGTGATAAACTGGAAGGGTATTGGTGGAGAGATCAGAAATGCACCAGACAGCAAAGACTGTGGCTCTTTATTAATCACCCCCCTTGTACAAGCAGCAGGAGAGGAGTGTCTGAAATGTGATTGGCTGATGTGGGCCCCCCCGACAGTCGACTCCTAAAGTTTGTCTGTGGCTGACATGCAGTTTATTGATCATTAAACTGGAAGAAGTGATGGCTGTGTGGTTTATTGGGGGGGGATACAGGAGGGAGGGGGTGTGTTGGGGAACACAGAAGGGGGCATGCGTTGTTGGGGAACATGTAAAGGGGCACAAGGCCTACAACGTAATGCTGGTGGGGGAATGAGGTTTGTCAGGGAACATTGAAGGGGCACGTAGTGTGTTGAAATGGCGGCGGAGGGTATAGGGCTTGATAGGGGATATCGGAAAAGGTCATGCAGTGTTTTGGGGACATTAGCAGGGCCATGAGGTGTGTTTGGAAAGGACTGCACAGTGTGTAATGGGGGACACTAGAGGAGACCACGCAGTGTAATGAGGGTGTGAGGTTTGTTGGGGAACACCAGTTGGGGGGGGGAGGTGTAAATGGGACAATGGAGGTGGTATGCAGTTTATTAGGGGGCATAAACCATGAAGTGGATGTGTCCATGACTTTAGATCGTGTTTATCACAATGTCTGACAGTAAAGTCAGCTAATAATCAGATTCTCCCTCCATTCTGTCCCAATCCATCATGAAAAGGAATATTCAGACCGGCTGTTGTGTCCAGGAAACCGTTCTTTCTGTAAACACTTTGATAAAGAAGATTGCCATATTCCTATTGTGTAGATTGGATAGGTCGCAGCGCCCCCTATTGAGGAGTGTAGTGCTGCAGGTGAAATGCAGCTGCTGTTTGACACAAACTCAAATATATTGTTTATGACACCCAAAAAGTGAGAGAGACCCCTCCCCCCAACCGGGACACCAATAAAACCTGACAAAGAGTCTCACGTAATGAGGAAACTAAGAAATTCAGTGTTTTGTTATAATCGTACAAACAGGGGCATCCCTAGGGTTGGTGTCACCCGGGGCGATAATACTTAGTGACACCCCCTCAGATGATCCCCGCAGGATGGATTGGATCTGCAGATTGAGCATAATGGATTGGAGTCCAATCCATTATGCTCCCTAATCTGCATATCCCATCCATTCTGCGGGGATCGTCGGCATGCAACCTATACGGGGTGACATCGGACCCGCTCCATGAAAAGGTAAGTTGTAAAGCAAGCCGACGATCCTCGCAGGATGGACGGATCTATCCTGCGGGAATCGTCAGCTTGCTTTACAACTTACCTTTTTAGTGGAGCGGGTCCACTGTCACCCAGTGCGGCGCACACACCCTGCACCTGCCGTGGGACGCCACTGTGTACAAACAGAAAACAAGTGATGAGATTATGAAATTTCAGATTGGCTTCTTTATGTTTACCATTGTGAAGGGTGAACCAGGGGCGGACTGACCATTTGAAAACTCGGGCACTGCCCGGGGGCAGTAGGGGGCCCCATGAGATGCTCCTGGTACCTTTTTCATAGGCCTTTTTAAGTTTGGCCAAGGACACAGGGGCCCCGTGATCCCCTATTGCCCGGGGGCCCCATGAGTTGTCAGTCCACCCCTGGGGTGAAACGATCCAATCACATCACCTCCAGGCAGCAGCTCCACCCCCGCAGAGCTGTCAAATGAGATCACCTGTGTGTGACCAGCAGTAGTAGTAGGGGCCCTCTGCTAAAATGTGATCTCTGGAAATTGCTGGCTTGTAATTGAGTTTATTAGATTACTTCTAATTTACAAACTGCAACCAGTCTCAGTCCTTCCAACCTGAGAAGAGGAGCTGTATGAGGACTGGCTTCCGCAGAGTAATCCAAGCACCTTCTGCTCTCGCTATGCCCCCTAGTCGCAAATCGGATTCAAACTTCCACTTTGCAGGACAGGTATGAATCCCACTGAGTACTATATTGCAATACAGACAGTTCATATTTCAGTGATAGAGAAGGCCTCTTCTATTACCTGATATCTTGCAATCAGCAGCTGAAACATGAATGTACAGCAAAATACACTCACCGGCCACTTTATTAGGTCCACCTCGCTAGTACCGGGTTGGACCCCCTTCTGCCTTCATTACTGCCTTACGTCTTCATGGCTTTGTAGATTCAACAAGGTGTTGGAAACGTTCCTCAGAGATTTTGTTCCATATTGACATGATAGCATCACGCAGTTGCTGCAGATTTGTCGGCTGCACATCCATGAACCGTTGATATAAGGCAGGATGGATCCATGCTTTCATGTTGTTGATACCAAATTCTGACCCTACCATGTGAATGGTGCAGCTGAAATCCAGACTCATCAGACCAGTAATGTTTTTCCGATCTTCTGTTGTCCAGTTTTGGTGATCCTGTGCGAATTGTAGCCTCCATTTCCTGTTCTTAGCTGACAGGAGTGGCACCCGGTGTGGTCTTTTGCTACTGTAGCCCATCTGCTTCAAGGTTCGACATGTTGTGCATTCATAAATGGTATTCTGCCTACCTTGGTTGTAACAAGTGGTTAATTGAGTTACTGTTGCCTTTCTATCATCTCAAACTAGTCTGCCCATTCTCCTGACATCAACAAGGCATTTTCGTCCACACAACTGACACTCTCTGGATATTTTCTCTCTTTCGGACCATTCTCTGTAAACCCTAGTGATGGTTGTGCATGAAAATCCGAGTACATCAGTTTTTTTTCCAACCAACCCGTTTGGCACCAACAACCATGCCACGTTCAAAGTCACTAAAATCCCCTTTCTTTCCCATTCTGATGCTTGGTTTGAACTTCACCAGTCGTCTTCACCATGTCTAGATGCCTAAATGCATTGAGTTGCTGCCATGTGATTGGCCGATTAGCAATTTGTGTTACCAAGCAATTGTACAGGTGCACCTAATAAAGTGGCCTGTGAATGTACAGCATAACACCACTGACATCATCAAGCATTTCTTCCCTCTCACCAGCTACAGCAAAGCTGAAGGATCAGCAAAAACATCACAAAAAAGTGAAAGGACGTATGTATAAATATGAAGGTGACAGTTACTGCCCCCTTCTGAAAATGCTAGTTTCCTGGCTGTCAAGTTAATCAGCTTGTTTTAGTACACAGAGTAATTGAATGATCTAGAACAAGTGATTCCAGAATGTCCAGGGAGGACTGAGGGATGTTGGAAAACAATCTTGATGTAGTCTCAGCTGTGATGGCGTGGACACAAGATCCAGGGCAAAGGAGCTACAGGGGTTAAAAAAAAAATAAACAAAATGGAAACACTACATGATTTGTAGGTCTAAAGTGACGACATGTTTCACGTTGAAAGAGGAAGTGATGTGACATTCTTTTGCTCCCACTTTCCATGCGAACCATGTCATCACTTCACACCTGCAAATCATGTAGTGTTTCCATTTTATTTTTGTCTAACCCCTGTGTGTCCAGGGAAACCGACAACACTTCTCCAATCCCATCCCTATCACTGACTCCCCAGCACAGGACACTCCTCCACACAGAGCACGCCCCTGCGCACGACACTCCTCCACACAACGCCCCCTGCGCATGACACTCCACACAGAACGCGCCCGACACTTCCTCATAGCGCGCTCCCGCGCACGACACTTCCTCATACAGAGCACGCCCCTGCGCACGACACTCCTCCACACAACGCCCCCTGCGCACGACACTTCACACAGAACGCGCCCGACACTTCCTCATAGCGCGCTCCCGCGCACAACACTTCCTCATACAGAGCACGCCCCCGCGCACGACGCTTCCTCATACAGAGCGCCCCCCCCCGCGCACGACGCTTCCTCACACAAAGCGCTCCCCCGCACGTGACGCTTCATATAGAGCGCGCGCCCCCGCGTGCGACGCTTCCTCATACAGAGCGCGCACGCGACGCTTCCTCATACAGAGCGCGCCCCCTCATCATAAAGAGCGCTCCCCCACGCACAACACTCCTCCACACAGAGCGCGCTCCCGCGCACGACACTCCTCCACACAGAGCACACCCCCACACACACACACACAACACTCCTCCACACAGAGCGCACCCGACATTCCTCCACACAGAACGTGCCCCCGCGCACGACACTCCTACAGAACGCGCCCCCGCGCACGACACTCCTCCACACAGAACGTGCCCCCGCGCACGACACTCCTACCTGCAGGACATGCTATAGCAGAGAGCCTTTTGCTGCACATGGCACTCCTCTGCACAAGACACCCCCACACACACGACCCTTAAACTGGAATCTGTTCCACACATCAGCAGACAGAAACAATAACATCCTCATGTAAAATTATATTTGGCAAAATTCAGCAACCTCATAAATAACATTTTATAGATGCAAACTGGTGCGCTGTCCCCAT